AAGAAAGAGCTAATAGGCCAATACTTTAAGTTATCCAATTAATCCAAAATAAGGCAAAAAAAGGACAAATGGAAAACAAATAGACTTAAACCCAATGATAGCAAAAATTACATCAAATATAAAGGGACTAACACACCAATTAAAAGGCAGCAATGTTGGACCATATAAAAGAGCAAAACCAACTATGTACTGTCTACAAGATATAAGACACACATTGGTTGAAAGCAAAAGGACAGAGAAAGGTATACTATCAAACAGGAAGCATTAAGAGAATGACGTAATATCAGACAAAAACTTCAGGACATATTACAAAAGACCAAAAGGAGCATTTCATAATGACAAAAGGATAAATTCATCAAGAAGTCATAGCAATTCTGAATATCTATGTACCTAATAAGAGAGTTTCAAAATACATGAAGCATGACAGAACTAAAAGGAGAAACTGACAAATCCACAATCCAGTTGGAGTAATTGATAAAATGAGTAGATAAGATAAATTAGTATGGATGCAGAAGATCTGAGTAACACTATCAACCAAGTTGACCTAATTGACATACACTATACCCAACAGCTACAGAATACACATTTTTTTCAAATTTACACTGATTGCTCACCAAGACAGACCATATGCTGGACCATAAATAAGTTTTCAGAAAATTTTAAAAGACTGAAATTTAGCGAAGTGCATTCTCTTACTTCAACAATATTAAATTAGAAATTAACAACAATATATCTGTAAAGTCCCCTTTTCCTAATTCTTCTACCCAGAATGAGTGCCTTTTTCTAATTTTTCTGTCCATTGTTTCCTAGTTCACAAAAAGGTACTGTATAAGCCCAGCATATTAGTTAAACAAATGAATTAATACCACTTATGAATTATTCTTTCCAACAATGAATAAATTGAACTTTAATCTGACAAACTTCTAAAATTACTAGTAATTTATAGAAAATACAAAGGAACATATTAATACCACAGAGATGCAATCAGAAAAATTCAGACTGGTAACTCTTTAGAACAAACTACTCAGAAACATCAGTAAATGAGAGAGAGAGAGAGACAGAGGGACAGAGAAAAGAAGATAAAAAAGAGAGAAAGACAAACCTTAAGTACTGCAAAATATTGATTTTTACATATATCAAGATGTGTTTTGTTTATTCTACTTTGTGTCTTATGTGTGTTTAAAATGAAAAAAGGAGATTTAATAAAATCAAATATAGGTAAAGTTTCCAGAGACAAGTGTTGCCAAGGATGGTTGGGATAAAACTTAAATTATTAAAGACTTTAGTTTTAAATTTGTGTCAATCTGAAAAATATTATCCAACTATGTTGGGTAATAGAAAAAGAAAAAATAAAGTTTCTGTATTCCAAAGAAAAAATAAAGTTTTCCCAGCTTCCTTAAAAAAAAAAAAAAAAAGACTTCAGTTAAATGAAAATTAGATTTAATTGGCTCCATCTAATTCAATATGCCTTCAGAATTCTATGAAAGGCCCATTTCTTAAAATAGGTGGCCCTGATAAACAAAGAAAAAATATTATCCTTTTCTGTAATTAAGTCAAAGTTCATCATTGAATTGGGAAAAAAAAAAGCAAAAATAGAATCCAATCTTCTTTGGATGTTCATGCAATCAATTCATTTGGGTGTTTGCTGGATAGATTTGATACATAAGAGAACACACTTCCTCAATAGCTAGCAGTTAAGGGAGAAAAGTATTTTCATAATGTTTCACCTCTTTTCTCCTTTCTGCCTCTGTATTTTCTCTCATAAATAGTATTCCTAAATAATCTTTCCATAATCCTACACTTCTTATCTTTCGTGAAGCACTATTCCTACTCACTTTATCACTTGCTTCCTAAAATGCCTTTACTACTTGAGGACACACAAAATAAAGTGAGTAAAATCATGTGGCCCTGTAATCCTTGTCTCATGGTATTCACACTCTTGTGTATAAACACCCTCCCACCTTGTAACAGGATTGTTCAGTGCTAACAAATAAAATACAGCAGAAGCAATGATAACGTGACTTTTCTGATTAGATGATGAGAGGCTCTGCAGCTTCTGGTTCTCTCTCATCACTAATTCTGGGAAAAGCCACGTCATGAGCAGTCCTATGGAGGGTCCACAGGGAGGAACTGAAGCTACCAAGAACCACATGAGTGACCTTGGAAACAGATGCTCCAGTCCCAGGCAACAGCTTGAGCAAACCTCATGAAAGACACTGAGCCAGAATCACTCAGCTGAACCACTCTCATACTCCTGACCCTCAGAAACTATGTAAGATAATAAATATTTATTGTTTTAAGGTACTAAGTTTTGGGGTAATTCATTACACAGCAATAGGTAACTAATGCAAATAGCAATGCTAAACAACAATACCTGCTCCTTTCAGACTAACAACTGTATTATAAAAATGCCCAAGTTCAATGCCATGAAATACATTCTGTACAAATTCAACATACTATCAAATCAAAAGTATTTCACATCAAAATCCATAATGTTTTATTACCTATCAGAAGAGCAAGATTTAAAAAATAATAATGCCCAATATCAGCAAAGATGTTTGGCAACAAAAATTACCATAAATAGTTGTTGGGAGCACAATCAATACAATCTTTTTTGATAACAACTGAGCAATGTTCATCAAAATTTACAAGTCACATACAATTCTACTACTAGGCATTTACATTTACCCCCGTTTGCCTGTTTATCTTACAATATACTTGCATAAGTGCTCAGAGAGAGAGAGAGAGAGAGAGAGAGAAGCTCCAGTGAAAAACTGGAAATCTAAAGATTCATCAAAAAACTTTTGGTTAAATCAGTTATAGTATAACTGAACAGTGGACTATCAACCAACTGTTAAAGAGGAAGACATGTACATACCAATTTAGAAAAGATACCCAAGATATACATTATGAAAAAAGTAAGGATATATATAATCCCACTTCCATGAGAGAACATGATAACGAGTTCATATTAAGAAAATCATCACAAAAGAGTCATTATAATTAAAATTATATTTTCACATTTTATAGTCTCTTAAATTTATTTAAAGATAACCATTGTTGTGCAAGTCTTTCATAGCAGGCCAGACAGATCCTGTTTAAATTTTATTTCTGCTTAACATCCATACCATGCACAAATAATATGATAGCCAATGTATACTGAACAAATACTATGTGAAAGAAACTCTGTTAAGCACCTCCAAATATGATGTTTACATATATTGTTTAATCCTCAAACACTGTAATATATATGGTGCTATTATCTCTATTGTACAGGTAAGAAAAATGAGGCAAAAGGAGTTAGGAATTTGCCCAAAGCCACAGAGCCTGTAAGAGTACAAAGAATTCAAAATCAGAAGTTTGTTCTCTTAGCCAATAACATATAATCTTTTATTCAGTTTGTTCATATTTCAAGTCAAAAAAGGGCTGTAAAACGTGGTCTTTATCTAACAGGTTAGCAAATAAACCAAAATCAATGCAATACGAGAATGACTTAGACAATTCTTAACTCTTATGAAAAAACAGAAAAGACTATGGATATGACAAAAGCAATTTCTAATTAAAAATAAATATTTTATAATTGTCTAATAAAAACGCAATTTATTTTACTAAAATCACATAATCTTCCCTGACTGGCTAATTACTACTAGGTAGAAATTTCTTCCAGTAAATTACATTTAGTTAGCATCCTTCCAAAAAAGCAAATTCCCTTTCCTTGAGCACCAACTGTAACAAATCTGATACAGGAAAATGAAGAGAAGCTGAGCAAAATCTCTCTAAAAACCTAATAGTCTTTACACAGCGTTTGTCTCGTTTCCCTTTTTCAATCTACTTTATTATTTTCACCATATTTCTAAATCTTAACCCATTCAATCACAGCTCTACTGTATTTCCTTTGCTGGATGAAGCAAAGGGAAATAAAGATTAATTAGAAAAAGGGACCAATCCAGTAAGTTACTAAATCCCATTATAATCATTATAACTACAATTAACCATGCAATTTATGCTTACCCAAAGGTCTTGTCCACCACATTGTAGATTATCCATCATTTTTTATCTCTAAGAAACCTCAAAGAAACTACAGGAATATATGTTCACCTTACATCCCAAAGTGCTTTATATAAACCACCTCTACTGAACCACATTTGACCATAAAAACGTGGCAAGAAACACTCTGACCAGTTCCTGCACTTACTCTTCAAAATATTCAACCTCCCTTCTTCCCCTATCCCCCCAAAATTGGCGTTCTAGAGTCAGACAGCCTGTGTTCCAATTCTAGCAGGGCCCACTAAATAAGAGACGTGGAGCAGTCTTTGTTTCCTTCCCTGTAAAATGGAAATGATACTAGTACCTACTTCGTGGGACTGTTGTGAGAATGAAATAAGATAACTCATGGTAAAGAGCTTAGAACAGTGCCTGGCATGTAATGTGCACTCAATAAATGCCAGCCATTACTGTTATCTCCAAAATTAACTGCCTAAAATCTAAATTTTCTCTTTTAGAGATGAGAATCTAACCAAACTCCATCAGGACAGTGGGCATATCGTCGGGGTTTCAAATTAACTAACGCAATAAATAGCAGCAGTATATAAACACAGTAATTTTATTTTCATAGCACTTTCGCTCTTTTTAATAAAAACATTTTGCGTGAACTTAAACACTCCTAACCCCACGCTTTTAACCAGCGAAATGTCTGGAACCCTGTTGACAACACAGCCTGGAAATACAGTCGAGGTTTTCATCACCTAAGAAGGGTGAAACCTAACAAACTGCTGGTTACCACATCAGGGAACCTGCAGTCCAAACCAGGCCTGAGCGGCTCAGGGCTAGCGGCTAGTCTGTTTACAGAAACAACGTTCCCTTTTCCCATTTTCCTCCCCAGAGTCGAAACTAACGACGCCCTTTTCTCCCCTGAGCCGAGGTCAAGCATCTCCCGGCTCTTTCGAGAGCTCCCACCCTGTGCGTCTTCCCCCCATAATTCCCACTCTCCCCCGACTCACAGAGTGTGTCCGCACACATTCACCATCAGCTTCAACGAAGGGTTCCGGTATTTGGTGGTCTTACACCGGGGACAGCCCTGATCGTCCATGGCGCCTTCTTTCCTGTGGACTCTCCTGGATGCCTGCTTCAGTCGCAGCCACAGCCACCTCCAAGCCCCCTCAGACCCGAGGCCAAGCGGATTCCTACCAACAGGCACTTGGCTGGGACGGTCCTTTGCAAATGAGCACCGGCCGGGGGGCGAGCCATGTCAGCACAAAGGTTCCGGCAGCAAGTTTTCCGGTCCTGCAGCTAGGGCTCGGTGTCAGCTTCCGCAGGCCAGCGCAAAGGCTTAGATTTCGGGGAGGGCTCTTAAAAAGGCAAATTGTACATAAAGCCTCATCTCTATGCACCTAGCTGTATTTTTCAAGGAACTGTGTCACAATTAGGAACAGAGATTCCATCTTGTTTTGTCTGGAGACATTCCCATTGTATCAAAGATTTATGCCTGGTGTACATATTCAATAATTCGCACCAGTATTTTCTTTTGAACAACTTGATAGCCTGTGTTTTATACTTCTCCTTTACGCTTGCACAGTCGTGCAATCACAGAAAATAATATGCATTCGCAGATATGAAGTTTGGAACAGTTATTTAGAATGAAAGTCTCTGCACCGACCCACTGCAGAGGGGGGTTTATTTATTACAGATTCTCACTAAATGTCAAAATAGTTCTATAAATAATATCTGGCAACTGTAGAGAACCTCTTACCTCAAGATGGTCAGGCATGCTTAACAGTTTCGGCTGGCTCTAATATCTCTTACCACCCTCCCAATCAAGACAATATTGGTTTCCCCAAATACTGGGGTGATTACACAGGAATCTATGCTTTATTTCAGCAATTCTACACTCTGAGAGCCTGAATCTCTTTGGAAATTGTAAGTCACATTCACTAAATTTATCCAGGCTGCAAAGTGAAGTCTGTAAACAGCTCTATTAGATAATAAATTCCTCCCACTATAAGGGACACATCTTATCCATCCCCCGAAGGAGGATTTGTTTATACTTGTTGAATAAGTAGAGTAAATGAAGAATGAATGAATGAACATCAAAGAGTAGCGTAATGTGAAAATTTTTTTATGCTGAGCACTATATTGTAATCTGACCCAAACTCCATTAGAAGTGGGCAAATAAAGCTTTTCAAATTAACCCATAAAATGAATACCAGCTGTATACACTCATACTAATTTTAATTTTTCACAGCAGTTTTTCTCTTTTCAATGAAAACATCAAGAGGAACATTCCAACTCTCACTTTTTTTTAAACAGTGAACCCAACAGGTAACCCATGTGGCAATACAGTTGGGATTTCCATGGATTACGGAGGGAGAACCTGACAAACAGCTGGATACCACATAGGAGAACCAACAGACCAAGGCAGGCCACAGCAGTACAGGGCTTTATATTAGTATACAGACATCAGGGATTCACCTAACAAATAAATCATGTCATTTGCTGGATCATAATATTGTTCACTAACAGAAGCTAAACAAATGTAAATTTACTAAAATAGGCAATATCCAACACTGTGCTGACCTGGAGACATTATCCTGCTATTTATTGAAAGAGACCACATCCAAACCAATTATAAGCTCAAAGTGAAGCTCTCTAAGAATAAAGGCAATTTTTTGTATCTTTATATTTTAACAGAACAGGAAACTTCTGGTGAAAGAGTGAACATGATCAGTGAGCAAATAAAATTTTTAGCCAAAACTACATCGAGAACCCATCCATTAAGTTGGCATTATTGTTTGTCACCACCAGCACACTTTTAATTGTATCTTTGAACAGGATACCTCAACCAGTTTGTGCAGTGAATTGCTGTTCCTTTCTCCCGACCTTGAGATTAAGGCAAAGAAAGCACTGAAGATTATGGGAGGAAACATTGCTACCAACTCTATCCTTTTCCCAGGTTGGAAATTACTGTCAGAGAAGCACGGTAGCAACAGCTGACTTGGAACTCTATCAGATAAGCATTACTCATGGAGCTAGAGGCAGCAGAAAGTAGTGCTTATAGATTTGGCCCCGGCACTAAGAGAGCTGGATTCAAGTGCTGGCTTCCTCACTTACTAGCTGCATGATCAAGGGCCTCAGTTTTCCCAAATATAAGATTAGGATAACACCAGCACAACTAGCACAGAGGACTGAGGATACAACTAGCGCAGAGTAAGAGCTCAGTAACTGTTAGCCATTATTAAGAGGAGTATAGGTTTTATTAGCAGTAGTATCGACAAGAGGCATGCAATGTACTAGGAAGAGCCTGTCCTTCTTTTAAAACAAACAGACCTGTTTTTGAGCCAAACTTCTTATCCTCCTTTACCTCAGTTTCCTTCCTCCATATAATACATTTCACAGGGTGTTGTAATGATTAAATTACATGACGTGCATATACAAAGGCCCTACTACAATGCCTCGCATACAACAGAAACTCTGAAAAGTATACCATTACCACTGGTGGAGTTCACTAATACAAAATGGTCAGAAAGCTTTGAGGAGGAAAGCACTGACAGCACCAGACTTCTGACTCAAATGGAAACTCAGCCCTTGTAAAAACCACCCAACTATCAAAGTTTCCCACATTTCTAAAGATAGCTGCATCCCAACGGTGGACCAGTGGAGTCCATTATTTCTCTTCCCAGATCTGCTCATCCTCTAGCGTTCCTAAGAGTAGATTCTACCTCCCTGGGACAATGTTTCTCAAACGCAGCCCTTCCTTTCCAGCCCCAAGGCCATGGACCCAGGTTGGGCCTTCCCCATATGTTAAAGGCTTTTATTGTTTTGTCCCTTGATGATGGATAGCATCCCTCCTCCCTTCTTATGGAAAACAGCTCCTCCTCCCCCACAGGCCTGTGTGGGTTGACATACAACCCTTACTGGACCAATCAGAGATCTTCCCTAGAATTTATCAAATTGGCAGCAAGGAAAATGTAGCAGAGCCTCTTGAAGCTAGAATATGTGAGCTGGGAACTAATGGAAGCCATGCTTCCAACCTCCTGGGGAAAGCCCCTCTGAAAGACTAAAACTACTTTGATGAGACAGGCAGAGGCAAGTGAAAAGGGACAATGAATGGGCCTTTAAGTCTGACCAGCTGCATTCTGCTCTTCCCATTGTTTGGTGTCATGATCCAAAAAATTCATCTTTTTGCCTAGGCCAGCTCAAGTGGGGTTTCTGGCTCCCGGGGAAATTAATATCACCTCAAAGAGGCAAAAATGCTGCTACACCTGGGAGAAGACTAGAACCTGGCACTTAGTCTCCGCCAGGATCTTTTCCCTCCACTATCACCCATGTGACTTACTAGGTCACCCTCCCTCTCACCTACTGTTCATCAGCGTCTTCAACAGGCAGATAGCTTAGTCACTGAGAACTCCCAAGCATTACCTCCAAGACTCCCTCTACCAGTCTTAATTCTTTTCTTCATGCAAGTTTGAAAAATCCTAGAAAAGGACTCTGACTGTTTTGGTTTGGGGCCAGTGCCCATCCCTGGACCAGTCAACTATATGGTCATGATATTATGTACAACACAGCCACTATACACAGACCACTGTGTCCACCACACCACAGCAAAATGAGCATTTCATTTGAAGTCCCTCATAATTTGTCCCCAACATGCCTTTTAAGCTAATCTCCCATCACACACCTACATAAAACCCACACTCCAGACACACTGAATTACTCAATATATTCAGAAATAAACCACACACCTTCATGGCTCCATGCTTTGTTCCCTCTGCCTCTAATGAACTCTATCCTTGAACTCTCAAAATTCTTGTCCTTAAAGACCCAGCTAAAAATCCACCCCCCATTGCCTTCCACCTCTCAAAATTAGTCTCTTTATCCTCACCACTCGTATACCCTGTATTGTATTTACTTACAAATATGTCTTACTTCCCCCACCAGATTTTAAGCTCCTCAGGGTCAGAGATCCCAATATATTCTATCCTTCAGTATGTAATGCAATACCATGTACTTAATCAGGACTCAATAAATATTTGGCAAATGAATGATCCTTCAGAAATGCTGATTACGTATCATCAACCACTGGTCACTAAATAACAGTGGAACACCTCCTCTACCTGGGAAACTACTTTAGAACCTAACTTCCTTAATATTACCACGACATAAGCTTTCTGTGGTAGAAATAACTGACCAAGATACAGATATACAGCCTTCCCGCTATCTTCCAGACAGCCAAAGTCAGCCTTTAAAAAGGAAATCTCCATTCTTGATGGCCACACCATTAAATATATTCAAGCAAAGTGCAACATTTTGTGCTGAACAAGATTTTCTTCACTACACTAAAATGGCAAAAGATTTCTATATTTCTATATTGCTCATCATTACCTTCCGGCAGGAAGGAAAAGATACAGAAACAAGCAGCTTAGTTTTCACTCTTACACAATTCCAACCTCACCTCTGTTTTCCCAAATCAAAACACAGCTTTAGACTACGTATCAGCACAGCAGACTCAATGTTCACAGCATGGCAGATATAGGAAATAGAAGCAAGTATTCATCAATTTTACAAGTCATTTGGCAAAACAAGTACTCTGAGATTAACTCCACACACCCTCAAGTCTGGTGTTCTATTCTAATGTAGCTGACCACGTTTGAGTCAAGGGCTTCCAATCTACTTTGAAATGCTGCCAGAATGAGCTCTGAGGCTCAGCCAGCTAAAGGAATCCAGAGCCTGGTGTTGGATTTCACTTCTGGTCCTATAGGAATCTCCTCCTGGAGCTACAGAATACCAGTGTAGCCACAGGCTACAGATATCATAAAAGGCCACTGCTGCTTCTATATAATCTGTTGAACTTGGTACTCTGGAGTCAAATATACAGAAGACATGCAGAAACCCAATACATGGTTTTCCAAGTCAATGCACTATATTTGATTGATAATAAACCTGAAGAAGACTCCTATGACCTGAACTTGGAAAGCCCTATAATATAGCCAAATGGATTTTCATTAGGTATATATAATTGAAAAGTTTCCTACTTTGCACTATCAGGAGGAAGATAAGAAACATTTAACAAAGATTAATTATGTGCCAGGTGCTTTTTGGCACATCTTATCTCATTTAATCCTCACAACAATCCTGTCCACTTTTTATAGTCAAGTAGCTAATAAATGGCAGAGCTAGGATTAAACCTACATCTAGCTAGCTGATCCCCAAA